AAAAAAATTGAAAAATAAAAATTTAATAGATAAGGTAAAATTTAATAAAATACAATTGAATTAAATGAGATAAAAAAAATTTTCGCAATATAAAATGAAATTAAATAAAGTAAAATTAAATTAAATTAAACGAAATAAAAAAAAAAGATATAAAAAAAATTATTTAAATTAAAATTAATGGCATAAATTAAATAATAAAAAAATAATAAAGTAAAATAAATAAAATAAAATAAAAAAAAATAAAATAAAGTAAACAAATAAAGAAATAAAATAAAATAAAATAAAATAAAATAAAATAAAATAAAATAAAATAAGATAAAATAAAATAAAATAAAATAAAATAACATAAATTAAAATAAAATAAAATAAAAATAAATAAAGTTAAAGCAATAGAAGCAACATTCGATTTTTGACACATCCTAATGTTATCATGTATCTATGAATGTATGTAGAGTATGAGCCATGTCAATACCATTGTTGTTGTTGTTTTTATTATTTCTGCGGCAACATATGCTGTGAATGCCTTTCCTTAAACAAGCACCCACCCACATGTTGTTGTTGTTGTTGTTGCTGTTTAAATACTTTAAAGCTGCAGCGGCGTCGAGCATAATTTATGCGTCGACAAACATAAGCGACAGATTATGCAATAAAAATAGCAAACGCCGAGTTAATAAAATTAATAGTTTCAACATGAAATCATACGCAGACACACATACATACACATAGACTTCATACGCTAATGTAAACTTCTGAGCAGAGAAGCGTATGTGCATATACATACACACACACATCATATGGAAGATTTCCTTCCTTTTGTATGTGCAGATGTAAGTACTCGTGAGTATTGATGAAATCGGCCAAAAGGCTGGATAAATTATTCGATTCTGATTAGATTTCTGCATTTCTTTGTTTACTACAAACAGACAAAGTAGCAACAACAAAAATTGAAACAAAAACAAACCGTTCGATAGCCATGTGCAATGGGGCAAGAGAATGAGCTGATTCATGTGTATACATATAATTTTCGTAGATATGTATGGTTATAAATATTAGGCACGTAGTACAATAAATTCGATGTTGCCGCAGTGGGGCATATGCATAATGGGATATATATATATATATAAACACATACACATGCAAACACCGACAAACCCATCCACACGCGTCTACATACGTAAGTTTGTACATTTGTACGAATATCTATTCAATGCAACAACAAATGCGTGGCATATGCGTATAAAAATATTAACTTGCCTTGCAGATGAGCATGCATACATGCATACATATGTATGTGCAGTTATACGTTTAGTTATACGTTACATGCATATACATATATACAATGCATGCGGTATTCCACATCTAAAAGATATTTTACATGATGTATTTATTGCAGGTTTTTGTTGTCGTCCCAAATTTTCTTTCATGCATTTTCCGCATGTTGTTGCTGTTGTTGTTATTGTTTTTAATGTACTTGTGATTTTGTAAATTTGTTCTTAGTTTCGTATGTACTATGTGTAAATATTGCATTTCTTTGATTCTCAATATTTTTTATTGTTGTACTTATTGTTGTTGTTGTTTCCACTATAATGAATTATGGTAATAAACAAAAATAACAATAAACATGTTGAGAGCGAAGTTAACGAAGAAAAAAATTAGGAAAGAGAAAAAAAAACGCTAACCCACTTTGAGAATCGTGGAAGAATATGAAAAACAAGGTTGGGTTAGGTTAGGTTTTTTATGCCGAGGGTTAGGATACATTAGCCTGCAGGTGCTCTGCATGACCCAGATCGATGCTCAATTTGATTGTAAGTGAAATAGCCAAACCTCAAGAAAGCCAATTTCTTCAATTTTCCGATGGAGGTGAAAGACGATTTGACTAAACGAACTTTCTATGGCAATCTGGAGCGCACTCATGAATACCAGCTCCACCGCGATGCCAAAATTTTGTTGTTATCTGCGACTCGGCAGTCGGAAATTCAGCTTCTTTGACGAATCATCCGGATATGAATTTCGGCTGATCGAGTTCGCTGGTTGTCTTCTTTCACGAATTGAAAAACTTGCAGTTTGATTCGCTCATGTTTTGTTGGACGAAAGACATTTTACCAGTATTCTAGACGTCAATACCTTCCGACCTCGACTTGGATCAGTATCCTATCGCAGCGCAGATATGCATCTGCATCTGTGCTGCAAAGAACGCTCGCCAACAAACACAAAAAGGGTTCGATATCGGGCAGCAGCTATCACAAGAGACACTCAGCTGGTTGTAGTGACTTAGATCATAACCTACTCATGTAGGAACAAGGGAGTTTATGTGTTGGCCAATATCCAGAGGCTATGGAGGTAACAATTTTCCTACCTATTATAAAGCAATGAAAGTGCTTCGACTACATGAAGTTCAAATAACAATTGGAACCCAAGTTTTCTCTGCCCAATTCGTGGTGTAAGCTTTATGCAATATTTATCTCATACAAAAACTTGATCAATTTGGCTTTGGATATTCACCATGTTTCAGGTACTGAAGAAGACTGTTGAGAAAAGGAGTGACACATACCTACCCTTCCTAGATTTCTAAGCAGATTTTGATAGATTGATAAAAGCCTGATTGAAAGATTTTTGATAAAAGCTCTTTGAGAATCAGAAACGAACTTGACGACCCATTTCATACTAAACAAAGTTTCAGACGAGGTGACTTTTTATCATTTGACTTCTTACGATAAAGAGAAGGTATAATAACCAACAAGTGCCCGCAACTTTTTGGCGTATGACGGAGATGTTGCCATCTTCGCAACCGTTTTAGGTTCTACTTTCTCGCGATTGTCAACATCTGATGAGTTGGTGATTGGAGTTTTTGAGTGGAAAGTTCTGTGAATGATTTACTGGCAGCATTAAGACACAGCAGTTGTCTGTGTCATCTCATGCGTAGGGGCAACAATACTTTTGCTTTAAGACATTTCGATGCAATACCCGCCTACGCCAACTAAGAGGAAGTAGAGCACAACGAATGAACAAAAACAATTCAAGAATACGTCGAAAAATTATTTGGTTTCATTCACAACATGAATAAAAAAATATAAAAGGGTTGTTAAACAGATTTACGCCTAAATGTAGGCAGCGTTTCATAATGTACACAATAAAATAATTTGCGCTTTTTAACTGCTGAAGCGATTTTTCGGCTGAGCTCCTCCTCCAATTTTTCGTTTTTGTTAATGCTAGATCCTAGATAGACGAAATTATCTACGACTTCAAACTTATGACTGTCAACAGTGACGTGAAGGCCGAATCGTGAGAGCGATAACTGTTTGTTTGATGATAGAGGATATTTCGCTTCTTTATCCAGCCTGGAAAAAACAGAACTAGCGGCGCGGTTGTTGAAGCCAATAATGTCAATATCATATGCGTACGCCAACAGCTGTTCACTCTTCTAAAAGACTTTACCTCCTTTGCAGCTCTTATTATTCTCTACAGCATCTAATTGAAGAAATCACACGAAACCTCGTTTGGTGTCGCACAGCTCGGAGAGGTCCTTCCCAATTCTCGCTGCGTTGCGGTGATACCAAATTCAGAATTAGCGGCGAAGAGGCAGCTTTTTTTTCGTTATGCCGAAAGCTGCTTTAAAATCGACGAGGAGGTGCTGTTTGTCGATTCTCTTTAAACAAGATTCGGCGCATGTTACATAAAAGCACCAATCAGTTTGCTGAAGGTGGGCTTTTGTCTTTCACACAAAACGCTTGATAGCATCTTATATGCGATGTTAAGAAGGCTCATTCCACGGTAATTGGCGCAGACTGTGGTACCATCATTTTTATGTATTGGGAAGAGCACAGCTGGATATGCTTTTGTCCGACCATATTCTGCGAAGTAGCTGATGTATGCACCTTGTCAGCTCTTCACCGCCATGTTTGAACGACTCTGTCAGTAAGCTCTCTGCGCCAGCCGCTTTGTTGTTCTTTAAGAGGGAAATCGCTATTCGAACTTTGACATAGTCAGATAGTGCAATGTCTGCTCCATACTTATCGATTGGGATTTTGGGTTCACCATCTTAGGGTGTTTCATTTTCACCGCCATTCAGCAGGCTGGAGTAATGGTCCCTACATAAATTCAGTATACCCTGGGCATTCACTCTGGGTCCTAAAAGAGTTTGCTCCGGTCTTTGAAAACTTCCATAAGTCAGTGTATCATATCGTTGAGTTTTCTTCATACTCACGCGTCTTGGCCTCTTTCGTTTTTGTCTGCAAATGCGTTTTGCTCTCTCCCTCTTCAGCTCTCGGCATCTATCCCAACACGCACGTGTTGTGGTCGATCGCAAGGCTGCGAAGTAGGCAATCTGTTTTCTCTCCACTGCAGTGAGACATTCTTCATCGCACCAGGTCTTTTTCTGGCATTGTCAGATACCAATTGTTTCCATAGTGGCGGTACGTAGGGAGTTTGAGAAGCCGTTTCACTGTTCCCTTATTTCAAGCTGCTGTTGAGTGTTCTCAAAAAGCAGGTGCTCAAGCCGAGTAGAAGATCGTGCGGCAATTTTTTGTGATGGCAGTTTTTCGGCATCGAACCTTTATTGTGTTTGTTTTGACGGACGTTCTTTGATACGCATAATTTTTGAATGAAACAAAAGAATACCATAAATTATATCTCTTTAATTTCTACTGTGCGCACACATATTACACACATTTCCCAGGCCATATTAACGTATTTACTATAATAGTTCAAATGAACTATTACATTTTACGCGAAATACACTCCGCTTTTTATTTGCTTCGAAAATCCAATAAAAAAACTATGAATTTTTTTATCGAACTATTTCCACGCGCCTAGCAAATCTAAAGCACCACCATAATCCGGCAAATGCCTTTAGGGAATCGAAAATTCTACACTCTGTTCTCTCTCTCTTTCCACTCCCACCCTCTCATGCGCATCCCACCGACCACAACACAATCACAAACCAGAGCAAACCAAACCAAACGAAAACGGTATGGCAAAGCGTACGCCCGATTGGCCCAAAACAAAAGTGTTGCCAAATTAGATTTACGATCGCCGGGCGCGCCAGTGTATCTTGAATTGTGGCGAACGGTAGCAGCTATAGAAGCAGCAACCAAAAAAAAAAAACATTCAGAACAACGCATTGCGAACAAGGAAAAGTTCAACGAAAATTTTTCTACTTTCAGTGATTTTACAGTGAGTACCAGCAACAACAAAAAAGAATTATGTACAAACATACAAAAAAAAACATAAATACCACAAACAATTGCAGCAGTGAATAATAGCTATGAAACAATAGCAACAACAACAACAATAATAATAATAATAACAACAACAATAATAATAGCAAAGCAAAATATATTGTGAAATTATGTTGGCGGCAAACAGAATAGACGATTTCAATTTGACACGATGAAAAAATATGTCTGCCATAAAAACAAACGAAATTGTGTGTGTTGTAAGTGAGCGACGCACAGTGAAATGCACACGCTCAAAGGCAGCCAACCAGCCAGCCAGTCAGCCAGCCAGCATGGCGAACGGAAGCTGCAAAGCTATTAGACCCAGTACATTCTGCTGCCCAACGTTTAGCGATATTTACAATATTTATTGGGCATTTTTTTGCCGTTTTCCTCTTTGTGTTTTGAATGTGCGTGTGAATTGTTTACTCATTGCGAAATTTCCATTTAGCAGTCGAAATTTTTCCGAAAAGATATTATGTGACACAATATATTATATGTATGGATGTGTATGCATCTTCTTGCACACAGAGAAAGGTGGAGGAATCAAAAACTAAGATTAAATTTTTATATACAAGAAAAATAGTTTATATTTCATTTCATCTTTATTCTCCTTCAGCCATCGCACAGTGGGCACGGTCAGGGTCTTCTTTGAACGCCGCTTATTTCATTATGTATATATATATATATAGCAAATTTCGGCCGAGAACATCCTCCAGTTTGCGGTATGCGTCTTAAAGTTGTTTCCAACAAATGGAGAGACCTACAGTTGATTAATCGCCTCCGAAAGACCAATGAATTTTTATGAAGAATAGACATTTTATGTCCGAATTATACTCGGAGTGCTTGACACTCCGCTTAAGAGAAGCGACCATTTTCTTTAATTTTGAATGTTGACCCAAGCAGTGAACTAAAACCCTGGTCTTCTGGATGGCAGTAGGTAATGCTAACCTCTAGGTAAATGCGGCCGCCGTGTTTATCGAAGTACATGGTCCGGCTCTCGAAGAGTAACCGAATAAAGGGACCATAAACTCAGTTTGTAAATTACTTTTAATACAAAATTAGCCGAAAGCGGTCAATTTCCGAACATTGAGCTTTCTGGCATGAAAATTCTTTAAGTTGAGCAATCCATAAACTTTAAAAACGAAAGAATTTACCTGACCAATCGTTCATACAAGAATTGATTTCATACAAGAAATTTAAAAATCATACAAGAAGAAGGCTGAAAGACAATTTTCCGATTTTCAACACATCCATACAGCCCTCGACTTCACCAGATGCTAATGCGATAGATTATTCTCTTTAGGTTACTTTGAAGAACACGGTCGGAACTAAAAAATACATCAGTCTCGAAACGCTGAAGAAAGCCCTTATTCGCGAGTGGACCAAAATACCTGCAAGTCACATTCGGACAGCTTGCGATTCGTTTTTGGACAATCTCAGGGCTATAATCAAGGCAAAAAGTCATCCTTTCATCGTCCGTTGTTTTGTGCTGTCAATTACATGAGAGTGGCTAGAAATGATTTTCTTACGTACGGTTCAACAGCTCACGACGTCTGGTCCGGTTCGGTTTAGACCAAATGTTCTCTGACTGCTGCGGGTTAGTGATTCAAGAATTTGCGAACTGGATTTTTATACGGCCAAGGACTGTGACTCTCACAATATTCCCCGAAATTGATTTTTTTGTATGTTGCTACAACAACAACAACCACCAAATGTCGTCTAGTTATCCATCAAACATCCATGTGAAGGCGAGCTAAAGTGAGAAGGCGAACACCCCAGCGGGAATTCGGGAATTTTCCTATGAAAAACACCAAAATGTCTCAGATGAGATATCTCCTTTTGATGACGACCACCACAAATGCTTAAAGTATTACGATTTGAGGACATACAACTGGAATATCTGGTCTCTCAATTGGTAAAGCATACGCTAATGCACGCTCGTGCAGAATATTATACCTTCTCGAGCTTGCTGAAGCTCTTATTATTTTCTTGAGCATAAAGTTGAGGAAGTCACTCGAAAGAAAGTCAGCTTTTCTGAGACCAAACGGCGTGGAGGGGTTCTTTCAAATTCTAAGGTAGCTTTTGGTGTTGACCATCTAGGCATAGCGGGAATACGAGACTCAGGAAAAAATAATGGCTTCCGAGAGAAGCTTTAAATCGACAAAGAGGTGAATTGTGTCGATTCTATTCTCAGGAATATTTTCCACAAAGCTTTATTGTGGATAAATGTTAGTCGACAGGAATGAACGTCAGTACTCGGTTACACAGTAACCACAGTTTTTTTAAGTCAGAAAATACTCGGAGAACTTCAAGGAGCGACAGAAATAACACTTTTTCTATAATAACACCTTTCTATAATTGATACCAAAAATCACTTCAACAGGTATAAACATGCCCTCAAATTGAATTGGGAAAACCAAAAAGTCCAAGCGGCAATCTCATTTCGACTTTTTACAGGTCTCCCAATTTGTATTTATTTTCCTGGCATTCCTGGCTGCTGGAGCAACACTGTGCGCTGCTTTAAATGCTATTTCTTCTCGAATTTGCGCGGTTGCCATTCAGATTTCATTTATACTCAGTTCTTAGTAAATTATATTCTTGCTGTTGTTATTGTTGTTGATGCTTTTCTTTTTAAATACATTTATTTAATTTTCTTTTGTTTATATATTTTTAGCTAAATATTTTTTAGTCTCTCTACACTTTGCCTGCAATTTATTTTCACTCACAGACTCATATACTTCCACATACTTACATATAAATACGAACATATACGAATATTTACATATACAAATCTGCATTACTTTTATACAGATGGCAATTTTGTTAGTTCATCTTCGACGCCTCATTCTGCTGATGAGCATCGTCTACCTCAGTGGCGCTGTGATGCGTCGCCTGTTGAGCGAATCTCGGCACAATTACTTGCAGCATATAAATGGCAAAATGTTTGCGGCACGGCATTTACACTTCCAGGCCTGGGCCTATATTTACACCGCCTATGCGTATGTGGTTTTGGTGAACTATGTGAGTGTGAGGCGATTAACGAATATGTTGGAATTCTTTCTCACCTGATGGATATTTTTTACTCATATGAATATATTTTAAGAGCTCTTTTAAAAACAGTATGTATATTGGTAAATAAAATAATCGGATAAACTTATAAAAATTTTAAAAATTAGAACGAAGTCATTATTTTAATTATTAAGAGATAAGTAAGCATTTCCTGTAACTAATTAATTGTTATATTTAATTTTATTTCATTTTATTTGATTTTTTTTATTTTTTTTATTATTACATTTTATCGTTATTTATTTTTTTTCCTTTTTTATTTTAACTTATTTGAATTTATTTTATCTTATTTTATCTTAATTTATTTTATATACTATTTTATTCTATTTCAATTAATTTGAATTATTTTATTTCATTTGATTTTATTTCTTATTTTATTTTATTTTATTTTATTTTATTTTATTTTATTTTATTTTATTTTATTTTATTTTATTTTATTTTATTTTATTTTATTTTATTTTATTTTATTTTATTTTATTTTATTTTATTTTATTTTATTTTATTTTATTTTATTTTATTTTATTTTATTTTATTTTATTTTATTTTATTTTATTTTATTTTATTTTATTTTATTTTATTTTATTTTATTTTATTTTATTTTATTTTATTTTATTTTATTTTATTTTATTTTATTTTATTTTATTTTATTTTATTTTATTTTATTTTATTTTATTTTATTTTATTTTATTTTATTTTATTTTATTTTATTTTATTTTATTTTATTTTATTTTATTTTATTTTATTTTATTTTATTTTATTTTATTTTATTTTATTTTATTTTATTTTATTTTATTTTATTTTATTTTATTTTATTTTATTTTATTTTATTTTATTTTATTTTATTTTATTTTATTTTATTTTATTTTATTTTNAATTTATTTTTTTTTTTTTTTGATTTTATTTTATTTTTATTAAATTTTTTTTGTTATTTTGTTTGCTCATCTTTTATTTGATTTTATTATTTTTATTTTATTTTGGTTTAGTTTATAATTTTAAATATATTTTAATTTGTTTATTTAATTTTATTATATTTTGTTTGATTTCATGTTATCTATTTTTTTTATTTCTGTTTTATTTGATATTTTATTTTCTTTATTTTACTTTATTCTACTTTATTTAATATCATTTTTTTTATATTATTATTATTTAGTTTACTTTTTCTTAATTATTTTATTTTGTTTATTTTATTTTATTTTATAATAAATTATTTTTTTATTTTATAATGTTCTATTTATTAATTTTATTGTTATAAATTATCTTAACACAATTTATATTATTCTTTTATTTTTGTTTTATTTCAATTCATATTAATTAATTTTACTTTTTTCAATTTATTCTATTGTTTTTTTTTTTAAATATTTTAATTTATTTTGTTTCATATATATTTTTATTGGTTTTTTTATTTAATTATACTTCTTTCCTTTTTTCACTTTGTATTTTTTTGCACAATTTAAAGTTTATAGTTCTCTTATATTTGCATATCTGAATTTTTTAATGTTATATTTTAATTTGTTTTATTTAATTTCGTTTATTTTATTTTATTCCATTTTTATTAAATTATATATAATAAATAATTAATAAATGTTCAACTTTTACATCCCTTACTGTACACACGGCGGCCTCTATGTGTGAGATGTGTTTGCTTATCACATTTAGGTTCATGTCTTTGCTATAAGCTTGAAAAAGACATTAAGTAGTCGACATTGTTTTGATTGTGTGGGCAGTAAATAAGTAACTTTCTCCACCTTACCAGGAAGTAAGAGTTTAAATAAAAATTATTTATTAATAATATATAAAAAAAAGTTTAAGAAGTGGCCACAATATATGTGTGGGTTTAAATTAAAAAAGTGTCTATATTAAAAACTTGTAAATATTTATGGTAATATTAGAAATATTTTATAATGAAAATGTATTTAATAATACAACAAAAGAAAATAGAAACAAATTTCACAGGCTTCTCTTGAGTCCAATTCTCCACCAACCAAATCATTTGTCATAGAGAGGAACATTTGATAATACCTTAGTGCCAGATCCAGCCTACAAGATGGATGGCATAAGAACCTCCCAACCAAACTGCCGGTGTTTTGAAGGAGTCACTGTCGATATGTGGTCTGGCGTTTTCATCGTGAAACACAATTTGCCTCTGAAGCTGGGTATTTCTGGATTAATGATTCCAATTGCTGATGGTACAGGTAGATGATTCCTTGCCAGTTCCACCGAACATACAACAAATATCTTCTTAGCCGTAAATACTGGCTTGAAGACCGTTTATGCCTACTCACTACCCTTGGATCACCACCATTCTCAGTTGACCTTGCGATAGGTGATCCACCAATCACCATCCGCTTCCGAAATGGGTTGATTTTTCTTACTATTGAGCAGTGTTTCGGAGGCGGAAATTCAGTGTAGTCTCGGTGAGGTCCCATTATATCATGTGGCACTCATGCATCGAGCGTCTTTTTCAAGTGGCTTCACGTTGGTTTTAGACAATGCTTAGCTCCATTGAAATCGAAACAGTGTTCACATGACGGTCAGGGTCGACGGACCCAATTCACAACTGCCCTTCCTCCTCCTTTACATCAAAATTATCAAAACGAAATCGAAGAAACCAAACCATCAAAGACTATTGAGTTAAGTGCTCTACCTTTAGTCTTACATTCTAGTGAAATTTAATCGTCCTATAGAACGCAAGACCACTAAAACCATCTATCGCATTATTAGTGGATTACTTTTTACTTGAACTAATTATGATAATGAAAACTATTTTTTTCGCTTAAAAGTTATACGGCTTTGTTTCTTGTGTGACACGTAGCACGATTTTGTTGAAAATAAACATTATCCAGATCAATTCCGGTCATAAAAAAATCATTAAACATCACTCGGTAGCGCAATCCATTCATTTTCGAAAACGTAAGGTCCAAGGACCCCGCCAGACCACAAACCCCTCCAAATAATTACAAGTTATGTATGGAGAGGCTTTTCACCAATAAATTATGGGTTCTCCGAGCCCCAGTTGCGTCAGTTTTGCCTATTGACGTAGCCATTGAAGTATAAATGGGCCTCATCAGTCAAAATGGTTTCTCCATAATTTTTTCATAGGAATTTTCATAAATTAAATGCGTTGCTGGAACGTGTATCGTTCAATTTTTATTGCTGGCGCAGTTTTTACACGATAAATTTCAAAACCTACAGCTTCCAAAGTGTCATCTACCGGTATATCAGGCTATTCAAAATAACACCTCTTATTGGAAACCCCCTTTTACCCAGATCGAATTCTTTTTTTTTTTTATATATACAGAATTAATATATTTACTGGATCTGCTATAATATAAGCCTAACAATAAATGTACAAATCTTAAAAACTAAATTACAAACATTATAGCTCGAGTTTTTTTTTTTACTCTGAGCGCTTTTCAAACTACGGCGCTCTCCTTAGATGGAGACAGATGTTCTCTCGCTGCTGGCGGGAATTTCTCGATGGGTTGCATAAAGCATTAGCTAGGGGATTTGGATGATTTCTTAGCTTTCTGAAGAAGCGAGTAACATTATTTGAGTTCACTTCGAGAAGATGAATGATGTCGATACCCTAAAAAAAATGCATGCAGTCTTTACTCGAATCGGTAGTAAGGTCCACATCGTTTGATGTTTGAAGATTATTTCATGCAAAGGTTAACCGTGACTGCGCCTCAAATGGTCCATCCGCTTAGTCCAATATTGGCATACTCTTTCCAACATTTCGGCGGGTATCTCACGCATAAATGCTTCAATGTTGTCCTCCAATGCGTCAATTGAAACGGACTTGTCTGTGGGGACATTAGATTTAACATAGCCCCACAAAAACTAGTCTAAAGGCGTTGTTATGTGCGCTGTGTGGCATGTAGCGCCGTCTTGTTGAAACCACATGTCATACAGGTCAAGCTCTCAAATTCAAGAGCTCGTCATGACAAAAAAAGGTTGATATCATCTCACGGTAGCGCTCACCAATCACAGTTACGTTACGATTCGCATCATCTTTGATGAAGTACGATCCAATGATGCCACCAGCCCATAAACCGCACCAAACTGTGACTTTTTCTGGAAGCATTGGTAGCTCGTGCAATGCTTCTGGCTGATCTTCACTCCAAAATCTGCTAATTTACGCACTCATTAAGCCAAAAATGAGCTTCGTCGCCGAAAACAATTTTTTGATAAAAAGTCCCGCGATGAACTTTCTTAACAGGGTACGCATTTTGATAGTAAAATTCAATAATTTGCAAGCGTTGCTCGTTGGTAAGACGAATCATGGTTAAATTATAGACCAAACTGAAGCTGTTTGACAGTAATAAAAAAACACGAAGCGTGCATCAGCTGTTTAAAACACTGTTGTCAAAAAGATCAAAGCTAAAAAGTCACCCTTTAGTTTAAATTTTTGGTTTAAGAGGAAGTAAGTAATGCTAAACTGCATTCATAATAAAGTGTTGCGAGTTCCTCCAAAAATATTTCGGACATTAAGTCAAGAGCTATAGAACCAAATCATGTACAGGAAGCTTAAAATTGAGGGTCTCTCTCTTCTTTGGAAATCATTGAGGTCCACACTACGAATTGGGTGAAAAGTTGAAGTAGTTAAAAAATACCAACTGTTCCTCACTTTCGCAACTTTCGAAAGATTTTCTAATATTCAATGACGGGCTGCTCCCTTTAGCCTTCCTAACTATTGGACTTTTCGCTACTGCTTTTAATATTCAATCATAATTTAATGTTTATAGCTGCTTTACAAATATATTTATTTCGTAAATTGAAATTAAAATTGTGCCAATTTTTTGCGAAAACTTTATAATACCAAATGACAGACATTTTGCGTACTCAAATGCTGACAAATTATTTACACACCTCATTTGCTGGGCAAAACAGTTTTTCTTTGCTAAATTCAAATTATTAATTAATTATTTGCAATAACATGAACGACATCGATGGTGGGTGAAAATACCTTCCACAGATATACATGCATACATACGTGTACATCTATATATTAGTATGCACATACGTGTACGTACTTATGTCATGAATGTCTGAATATATGTGCACAATATATACATA